CGGGAGCTTTGATAAGTTCATATTAGTAGCGGGGCCTGTCGATATCTCGGCAGGCTCGCCCGCGCCCTCCATATCCTGTGGACCGCTCGGCTTCGAGGGTGACGGCCGCTACTCAATATCGGGCTTCGGGCCCAGCTTCGGCGACGACTCGTCATCGACCTCCAGCGAAGTCAGTAGCGACAACCTCAGCAGCGAGCACGAGCAGCAATGCACTTCCCTCGGCAGAGACGACGACCTCCACGCAGCTAAGGCCAGCATCATGGCGAAAGCAGGCGGCAGAGCAGCAGATGACCAGCAAGCAATTCTACCAGAACGCAGAGTTCCACAGTTCGATGGCACACTGTCGAGGTGGAAGGAGCGCGAGAAGCGGGCGACTATGTTCATTGCGAGGCTTACTTTGGAGAAGAAGGAAGGCGAGGCGGCTCGCATGTTATCGCCCGGGCTGACGGGTGAAGCCTGGGAAGAAGTCGAGGACTTCACTGCGGGCGACCTGATCAAGCCCGGCGCGGCTACAGCGCTACTCACGCGCCAACGGAAGCGATTCAAGATGGACACGCGGACGGAGTTGGCAGATGACTTCGTGGAGTACTTTTATAAGCTACGACGCAATCGAGGAAAGACGCTCTTCGGTTGCATCTCAAGGGTTCGAGCAGCAGAGCGGAAGCTCAAGACGCACGACATCGAGCTGCCATCCAAGTACCGTGGATGGCTGATCCTACGACGAGGCGGCTACAGTTCAAACCAGAAGGCAGTCATCAAGTCCATCGTGGGCAAGGACATTACACAGGACAAAGTGATCGAAGCGCTGGAGACGACATTCGGACAGGAGAGCAGTATACGAGCCTGGTCATGCACGGAACCGGTACCACGTGGACGACGAGATAGGAGAGTACTACGAAGAAGATGCATACTATGGCCAAGACGACGAACTAGAGTTCGAAGACGGCTACGAGCAGGAGCACTGGGCCGAGGACGGCGACGAGAGCTGGTACGACTGCGAGGAGGCCTACTATCAGCGGGGCACGGCGACGATGCAGGACTTCGACGCGTCGGAGTACGACGAGGTCTACGCGGCCTACCACGACGCGCGCAAGCGCTTCAACGACATGAAGCTTGCACGAGGCTACTACCCGGTAGTGGCGATGGTACCAGGCGCGACGGGATCATCAGCATCAGCAGCGCCGAGGCGCTCCCGCAGTTAGGGCGGAGCCAAAGGGCGCGGACGCTCTCGAGGAGCTGGTCGGAAGGGCAGCCCAGGACGGAAGGGCTCACCACACTCGGCGCAACATCGCCCATTCAATCAGTAAACGAGGCCAAGACCTACGGAGGGCGCGGAAGCAGCTGCGAGGCCAGCGCCATCCAAGGCGACGTGTCTACGATGCGGCGGAGCTGGGCGCTGGGCGAAGGACTGCCCGGAGCCACCTAAGAAGCGGCCCCACGGACAGATGGATCAAGAGATGACAGTTGACGAAGTCTACTGGGGCAACCGCACGACGGCCAGCATCATCCCCGCACGAGTGGCGATCCTGGGCGGCGGCGCTACTACGCTTATGTTAGGTTCGGAGACAATCAAATAATACCTGACAACATGCCACGTCAGGGGTTACCCGAATGAGACGCTGGGGTTTCACACGTGTCGGAGGCCATTCCGATTCGGCAACGGCACGGTGGAGCACGCACTGTGGCGCGGCGTCATTCCAGCGAGCTTCAAGAGCAAAACGGGGACCCTGTACATGCATCTCGTTCCAGGGAAGACGCCAATGCTCTTCCCACGGCCCCTACTGGAGAAGTTCGCAGTGCAGGTCGGCTTTGCGAATCAGCAGCTGGCGTGGAACGGCGGCAGCTACGAGGAGGCGCGCACGTCTCCGCAAGGCCACTACATGGCGGACCTGCTCGAGGACATGGGCGACCAGACGACGGACGCGAAGCTCGACTTCGAGTGCGAAACGGTCGACTTCAGGGAGTTCATGGGCGACGACAGGACCATCGGCGGCCTGGAGCTTCTAGACGAAATCCACAAGGTCGACTACAGCAGCAGCGACGACGGGGAGCAGCGGGAGGTTGCACCGCAGCGGGCGCACTCAGAAGGATGTCCACAACGAGTCGTGAAGGTCAACCGCTGCGGCGAGTACACGAAGCAGTATCGGTGCCAAAACCATGTTTCCTGCGGCAACCTTTGCTTCGCAACGACGCCGATCCAGCCAGTCGACCCGAGACTGCCAGAGCCATGCTGGCGCCTGGCAGAAGCCTGCAGCGACGCGACGCAACTCATCGAGCAGGACGCGCACAGCAGCGACGACGGCGACAAAAGGCAGGTCACGGACAACTTCATTCAGAAGATCGACTCGGCGATCAAGCACGCGAGCGACCAGTGCATGCAGACGATGCGGCGGGCAGCGGCAAAGCGCTGCACTACGCGACGGAAGGTCTGGGAGGTCTATGCAGGCGAGGCGCGGTTATCTCAGAGTCTACGCGACGTCGGAGCGGACGTCGAGACGTTCGGACTACACACGGGCTGGGACTTCGCAAAGGTGGAACACCGAGAGCGGTTCAAGCGCAAGCTACACGAAGAAAAGCCAGACGAAGTTCACCTCTCCCCGATGTGCGGACCCTGGTCCAACATGCAGGAGCTGAACATACACCAGCATCCAGGTTGGAAGGAGTACCTTATCGAGCTACGCGACTGGCATCACCGGACGCACCTGCAGTTTGTGGCGGACGTCTACCACATCCAGCATGAGGGCGGACGTCATGCTCACGTGGAGCATCCAACCACATCGAGGGCCTGGCAGACCAAGGCCTGGTCCAACCTACCGGGCTACATGGCGACCTCCGACCAATGCATGCACGGCCTCACCCTACCAGGGAGCGACGATCAGCCGGTCAAGAAGCCAACCACCATCAGGACCACCAAGAAGCTCATGGCGGCTATCATGAGCACGCGATGCGACAGGTGCCACCAGCACGCAGTACTGGATGGACAACGTGGACGGCAGCGGCGTCAAGCGCGCGAAGGTCGCGGAGGACGACCCGTTCATCTTGGCAGCCACCCTGGCACAAATCATGGTGGAGGCCGAGGTCGAGGAGATCTATAACGGCGAGGACGTCAGCAGCGGCAGCAACCCCACCTCGACGGACGAGACGGCGAAGGAGGAGGTTGTCCACGTGCACTCGCACATGCGCGAGAAGTACGGCACCGAGGCACTGCGCGACGTCAAGCGGCTACGCCGGAACATGGGACACCCCAGCCCGACGGTACTACATCGGTTACTACAGCAAGCGGGAGCTCAAGAAAACGCGCTCAACTACGCGGCTGAGTATCGCTGCGAGTACTGTATGCAGCGGCAGCGCCCGCCTAAGGCGCCCACAGCGTCAGCCAAGCAGCCGACGAAGTTCAACGAGACCGTCTACACCGACGCGTTGTGGGCCAAGACCGCGACAGGCAAGACGGCAATCTTGTCGATGGTGGACGGTGCTACCATGTACTGTGCCCTACGGACGATCAAGACGGAGACGGCCGACGAACTGATCAAGGCGGCCGAGCGCGGCTGGATCAGGCAGTTCGGTCCCATGGGCGAGCTACGTACCGACGACGGCCCAGGCTTCGCGTCGGATAAGTTAACGCAGTTTCCGGAGCAGCACAGCATCAGTATCGTGATCACAGCAAGCGAGGCTCACTCGAGTCTCGGAGTGGCGGAGCGACGTCATCAGGTGGTTCGAGAGGCGATCGAGCTTTACTGCCAGGGCGCGATTGAGCGCACGGCCAACGCGGTGCTCGACGAGAAGCTGATCACCGAGGCGTGCATCTACGTGCCCCACCAGGTCAACCGTCTGGCGTTGACGAAAGGGCACTCACCATGCCAGTGGGTTTTGGGCATGGACCCCGCCACGACGATGACCAACTCCAGCGACAAGTTCTCGCCGGCGACCCTGTGCCAGATGAGGGAGGACGAGGACTTCAAGGACGTGCTGGAGAGGAGGTCTATGGCGGCGTTGGCGTTCATGAAAGCGGGCGCCTCAGCCAAGCTACGACGCGCACTCCTACGGCGACACGTGGCGCTCAAGCGCGACCTTTCCATCGGCCAGCGGCGTCGCTACTGGCGCGAGGGCAAGATCAACGAGCTCATCAAGAACAAGTGGAAAGGGCCCCGCAGTCGCGGTGTTCAAGGAGATGCGCCAGGACGAGAGTGGACCACGCATCTACTGGATCGTTCACGGCACGCAGCTACTACGGTGCGCACCCGAACACGTTCGGCCAGACGCGCGTGATCAAGTGTGCGTTCTACTCGAGAACCTGACCCAGGCCAAGGATGCACTGGGCAGCATGCGGAGAACGGGCGCGACGCAGCACCACGACAGTTGCTCGCAGCAGCCCCCGTTCGACGCACCGGGCGACTCGGACATGGACGTCGACGACGACGCGGAGGACGGAGACGGAGAAGAAGGTCCAGCATCTAAGCGACGTCGAGGAGGCGGTTCTGATCCTAGGACGGCCCCAGTGGTGGAGGGCACCAACAGAGGCATCGTCATCCGGGCCAGCGGCGGCAGCAGCTTCAGCAACACCAGAGGTGCCACCAGCCGCGGCAGCTCCAGCGGAGGATCTTCCAGACGCGGAGGCGCCAGTACCCGACGGCAGTCGACAGACGTCGGACTCTGGTCAGCCAGACCAGGGGCCGACGCCGACGACACCCCCACCAGAGCCAGAGCAGCCAGCAGCTCAACCGACAGCACAGCCAACGCGGACAGCGCAGCCAGCATCATCGCCATCAGCGGCGGCAGCACCATCATCGGAGCAGGAGCTCGGATCGACGCAGACGCAGTCGAGGTTGATCTCGAATCTTCAGAAAGAGCGGCTCAGGATGGACAAAGCAAAGGCGGCGATTTTCACCAGACCTGGAGGAGGAGTCTTCAGAGGCACTCTGCCCGACCCGGGACTGAGCAGCGCGGTGCCAGTACCGGGCCTCGACGATGCTGACGACGGACTCGCAGCTCTACACCTGATGGTCGCCAGTCAGGATTTGCCACGTGGCTGGGAGTTCGACGGCACGGAGGCGAAGCTCAGCGACATCTTCGCGGACAACAGCACGAGGAACATGACGCCCCACGAGCGCGCGGCGCTCATGCAGGGCAAGCGAAAGGAGCTGACGGAGTTCTTCGGCTATGACGTCTGGGAGTTCCACGGGCCCAACGGCGAGGTGGACCCTCGGCGGATACACAAGGCGAAGTGGGTGCTCAAGTGAACGAAGAACGACGACGGCGCACCACGTGCCAAGGCGCGGCTGGCACTGCAAGGTTTCAACGACCCCGGCGCACTCAGCGGTGCAGCGCCGACGGCGTCGCCTACGGCGTCGAGACTGGCAAGACAGATGGCACTACTACTGGCGACTAATAACGGCTGGAGGCTGTGGGCAGCAGACGCAGCTACTGCATTTCTTCAAAGACGACCCCAAGAGCGCGAGCTATACGCGAAGGTGCCCAAGGATGCGGCAGAGCTCATGGGCATCGAGCCGGACACTCTTACGAAGCTCATTAAGCCCATGCGCGGCCAAGTGGACGCACCAAGGCGTTGGTGGCTACGCGCGGTGGACGACCTGAAGGCCAGCGGTCTCAAGCAGCATCCCCTGGGCCCCTGCATGTTCCTCACCTTCGACAAAGACGGCAACTGCGACGGGTTCATTATACTGTATGTGGACGATACGCTGGGAGGTGGAGATGGGCGGCCGGGCAGCAACTACAGTCGGGCCATCGCCGAGGCGAAGCGGAAGTTCAAGTTCAGGAAATGGATCGAAGACGACAAGATGGACCACTGCGGCAGCGACGTAACGCAGACCCCGCACTGGGACAACCCGAAGTCGAACAGCAGCGAGATTGAGGTGAAGATGGCGACCTACGCGAAGAACCTGAAGCCCAGCACGATCGACCAGAAGAGCAGCGACAACCCGAGGGAGCTCACTATCAAGGAGAAGCGGCAGCTACGAGGCCTACTCGGAGCGTTGCAGTGGCCAAGCTCTCAGGCGTGCCCGCACCTTTCGGCTTCGGTCAGCACTCACCAAGGCCAACTACCTACGGCAACGGTCGGCACAGCCAAGGAGGCCAACAAGACGCTGCGGTTGTACAAGCAGAACTCGGACGTCGGGCTCAAGATGAAGAAGATCGGCCAGGTGTGCGACATAGTGTTCGTAGCAATGACGGACGCAGCCTGGGGAGTTCGACAAGACGGGCCCAGTCAAGGTGGCTGCGTCATCTTGGCATGCCACAAGAAGATATTCGACGGACACGAGTCCGACTTCAGCGCGATCGACTGGAAGTCCTTCAAACTACTGCGCATGGCGCGCTCCTCCCTACATGCGGAGTCACAGGCAGCAGCGGCGGGCATGGGCGGCTTGGAGTTTGCGAAGCGATTCTGGGCAGCCATGATCTACGACGGCGTGGACATCACGAAGGGCGAGACCACTCGCACGGCGGGTGAGTTGGCAATAGTTGTGGACGCGAAGGCGCTCTACGACGCGGCCCAGAAGGAGAGCATCGCTAGCTTCCAGGACAAGCGGGCCGGCATCGAGGTGCTAGCGCTACGTTAGAGGACGGGGGCTACAATGACACGCTGGAGGCGGGTATCTTCAGAGAGGCAGTGCGCGGACGGGCTCGCGAATATCGCGGCGAGACAGCTCCTCGCCGACCGTCTGCGATATGGGGGGCTACAGCTCAAGCGCGACCCGAATTACACGGCGGCGAAAAAGACAAAGGAATAACGACAGGAGAGCATCGATCAGACGAGGACGGTGACATCGGCGGCGACACGGAAGGCGACGACGCCATTCATGCAGCTGGCAGCGTTCGCAACTTGCTGTTGCAGATCGGCGGCCCGCTCAGGCTACGACATGAAGGGCGAGAACGACGGCTGCGGTATCGGGATCTGGTGTGCCATGGCTTTCCTACTTCTGGGGTTATGTGGGGCCTACCCTGTTGCATCCCACCTGATCAAGAGAAAGGAAGCTGAGTACAAATGCAAGGCGGATCTGGCGATTCTACGGGCGAAGGCCGAGAAGGAGCGGATCGAGAAGGAAAGTGAACCGAAGGAACCACCGAGAGACGAGCGCGGCGGCTCGTCGAACGATCTGTACGCGGCCAGGACGGTGGGAGTGCAGAGTATGACGACATACAAGCTCAGCGGAGACGTCTGGAGGCCCCAGCATCAGGCGCAGGGTTTTCGCAGAGCGGGCGAGGTGACGACCGAGCCAGAGTTGGCGGAAGGATTTCGAGCTCACAAGTGAGTCTCACAGCTAATATGTATTATTTCTTCGTTGCGGTTTTGATGCGCATGCCACCCGAGAGTTTATGGCTGTAGCTTCCGAGATGTGTCTACAGACAGTGCGATAGTTCGGCATTGTTTACTGTAGCGTTGGGCTACTGACACTTCCTCACGCATTATAATGCAATTTAATTGTTTGTTTCCGTTCATGCAATATTAGGTATGTTTGTCTGGATTTGTTATATTTCAAGTTGAAGGAAGGCTTCTCTCTGTTTCATGTGTTTTCGCTCTTCCACGGGTGTGATATATACGCTGTACATCTAGTGTGTGCATGCTCGTGCGTGTGCGTTGCATAGCACGAACCCGCAACCGTTTTGGAATTGGATTGCGGCAGGGCCCTTGAGTCAGACAGAGCGCGCTGTGAGAATGAGATTCTCTTTCATCATCAGCAGTTGCATTGCCGTCAAAGACTTCGGGAGCTTTGATAAATTCATACCTCCTCCTGCTCCTCCTCCTTCTCCTACTCCGTTTCCTCTTCCTCCCCCTCCTCCTCCTCCTCATCATCATCAGCAGCAGCATCATCACCATCAGCAGCAGCATAATCACCATCATCATCATCATCATCATCATCATCATCATCAGCATCAGCATCATCATCAGCATCATCAGCATCACCACCATCATCAGCATCATCATCATCACCATCACCATCATCACCAGCATCATCAGAATCTTCATCATCGGCAGCATTCTACGCGTAGTCCTTCTCCCCACTCCCTCATGCATGATCCAGGGTCGAGGGCCCGCGCCCCCCCCCCCAGATGGCACGGTCCCAGGATTTCCTCGCCTATGGTCCCAGAGACGACGACGACGACGACGGCGACGACTACGACGACGGCGACGACTACGACGACGACGACCACGACGACGACAACGACGGCTGCGGCGGCGACGACGCCGGCGGCGGCGGCGGCGGCGGCGACGATGACGTTTCGTTTCGTTTCGTTTCGTTTCGTAAGCGTCTTGCAATGGCGGCTCCTGGCCCCGACGCTGCTGAGCTGATCTGCAAACTAGGCGGCCACCTAGATTATCTCAAAGTTTGGCGCCAGTCAAGCCACGCGCGCTGTCCGTCAACCCACGACTGCTTAGAGTATGGTTTGGCGAGCCAGTCGAAACCAAATAATTATAGAAATCTCTTTCCCAGAGCCATATTCCTACAGCGCGGTGGTGCAACTGGGAACCCGAGGAACGTTGCATGGCAGTCATCCAGGATCTATCCCGATATCTAAGTACACGATACGCAATGCGGTCGGGGTTGGACTGCGCCATCCCCTGGAGGTGGCCCGCCCAAACATGGGGCAGGCGTGCGCAGGTTTGCGTCCACGGCTCGATATCATACCTAACGCGGGCGGCAGCTACTTGGGACATGGCATTCTTCATATATTCGGCGGCGGTGTCGGCTGTAGGTGGGCGAACGATTCGCCTCAGTATAGTTGTGACATTTGGAGAGGCGGCTGAGCCCTGAGACCGACAGACGCAGGCTCCCGATGCAATAGGTGAGCGCGGGGCGGACGCATCGGTCTAGGGCATTCAGTCGCTTGCTGAGACAAATTTGGGGATTTGCAAGTATATTCTTGCGTGCGGCCCAAGTGCGCCACGCACGTTGGATCCTATTGCCCACCTCCGCCGTGCAACTCCTATCGAAAACAATGCACGCGCCTAGGACCTTGAGACCGCCCGCTCTTTCGCGGCAGGGGGCCGAGGTGCCTCCGACGCGAAGCGTGCCGATATATGTGGGATACGCATGGCACCACTCCATTTCGTGGACAGGAACCTCCAGGCCGCTGTTGTTTAAAATGCGGAGCCAGGCCTCGGTCATTTCAGCGGCCATCGAGGCCGAACGCGCCAACATCCAGAAATTGTCGGCAAAGCTTAAAAAATCCCTGGGATCAAATCCTCCCCACCTGGCATCGTGAGACATAGCCCCCAGCCATTTATTCGGCAGAGGTCTTGGAATTTGGAATTCGCGGTGGTCCGCATCCAGGAGAACGTTGCTCAACTCGGGCGCCGCGGGCCCCCCCTGGATCAGGCCCCTTTCCCTGCGAACGCTCTTGGTGAGGGGTTGCCAGGCAGGCGGATGCAAGCGGCAGAGTTGCGGGTCTCCCCAATCCAAAAACTGCTGGCAACACGGGGCACTCCATGCTCACCTAAACGTCTTGCCGGGAGGGGGTGTCGAATCTAGTCATAAAACTTGCGGATGTCTCCCCCGACGACGACGGGGGGAGGATCGCGGTATTCACAACACTTCTCAACATGATGGCGGAGGCTATATATAATCTCACGCGCTTGGTAACTACGACGGAACGCGAACTGGCACTCATAACGAACAGCTTCCAAGATGGGACGTTGGACTTCCAGGGCCATCATCGACAGGATTTTCAGCCGCACGGATGCCAGGGCGATGGGTCTGAACTCGGCCACCTTCTGGGCCTCAGGTTTCTTTCGGATCAACTGGGCTACCTGCTCCGCCCAGGCCTGGTCGAAGCATTCGCTCACATGGTTGCAGAGTCTCAGGCGAAACGCAGCGAGGATCTGTTCGAGCACATCGTCCTGGGGCCCCTGGATCATCTCAGCCACAATCATGTCAGACTCGGCGCACGATTTGCTACTCTTTAATTGACCGATGACTGTTTTGAGCAGAGTGAGGGAGAGAGGGGCCTCCTCCTGTTGGTGCTCGGCTGCCTACTGGCAGTGCACCCAGGCGGGCAGGGCCTGGTCGCTGGTCGGGTCAGCGAACAGGTCGGCGTAGAAGGCGCGGGTCAGCCCGCAGCGGGCCTGCACGGCGCTGGCGCTCCGCCCCTCTTCCGTCTTCAGCTCGCGGACAGGCTTGCCAGAGCGGCGAGGTCTGTCGGCCCGCCCCTTCTCGCAAAGGCGCCCCAGGTGGGTCGCGTTGCAGCGGCCCCTCAGGGCACGCTTGGCCTTGGCCACCGTAGGCCCCAGCAGGCGCCGCACGCGCAAGTCCGCCTCCTGCGCGCGCAGCTGCTCCAGGCGCTTCAGGTGGAGGAGCTCGGGGTCTCCCTGCGGGGGGCGCCAGCGCCCGCGCCGGGGGACGTGGCCGGCCGCGGCTGCGCCAGGGGAGACCGCCGACGCCAGCGCGGAAATGGGCGGGGCGCCCTGTCTGGAGCGCGCGGCCATACGCGGCTGCGGGTTGAAGAGCTGCGCGAAGGTTTCGCCGCCATCCTCCCTGGCTATCTCGGAGCAGCGACGTTTGCGTGCTCTAGTCTCTGCCAGCTTATGTTCACTAACTCGTCGTCGGTACTCTTCGGCTCCCCAGTCATGGGCAGGGCAGGGCCGTCTCCAATAGGCGGTGTCGAAGCGCTTGTCCGCGCCCTGTTTGGCCCAGAGGTCCGCCTTCTCGTTGCCCAGGTTACCGCTGCGGCCCTTGACCCATCGGATGCGCACATCAAAATGCGAGGCGGCCCGCTTCCACAGGTGCACGGCCAGGATCGCCAAAGGGGCGTTCTCTCGTGGCTGAAAAACTTCAGTGAGGAGTCCCTGGACGTACGTCGAGTCGGTGACGATCTGGATGGGCCCGCCGTCCTGGGCCGTCGGCCCCAGGGGGCCGCGCTGGCCCAGCAGCCGCGGGGGCGCCTCCGCGATCGCCGAGAGTTCGCCCGCGTTCGCCGTGAGGGCACAGGCGCCCAGGAAGCGGGGGTCCAGGTGGTTGGTGACCACAGGGCCGCACGCCTCGACCATCGGCTCGTCTTGGTCGCGCGGCATGGCGGCGCGGTAGACGGCGAAACCTCAACCTGCGCTAGCGGCCTGGCGCTGTCCACGCCGTCGCCCCCGCGCCGAGCCGTCCGTGAAGATGCCCAGCGCGTTCGCGAGGTCGCCCTCTGTGAAGCCATCCATCGCGGTCGGGAAGTGCGGTATCCGCAGAGTCGAGCATGCCGTCTCATTGAATAGGTGGGCATCCTCTAATTGCCAAGCAACGGGCTTGCGCGGCGGCCGTTCCATCAGGTCAGCGCCCCCGAGAGCCTTCTCGGCATCGGCGATCGTCGGGGTGGCCTTTCACGCATGGCAGCGTAGCAGCAAGGGGAGGTGATCGCTCTGCTCGGCATCCGTGAAGCGGGCCTGGCACGTCACTGAGGTGAGCCAGTCGCGGTGGCACAGCATGAAGTCTATCTGGCCTGGCTCCTTTCGGTTATCGTAGTAACATGTAGCCTGTCCCCACTGTCCTCGAGAGAAGGTGTTGGTAGCAACCAAGTCGACTTCAGTCATCAAATCGAACAACATTTCGCCCCGCCAAGTCATTTTGGTAGCCGAGTATTGGCCGACCGTCTCTCCGTCTCCAATCCCCAGGCCATCCTGGGCGTCAGCGCTGACAATGGCATGGCAATCAATAGGCATTGTAATCAGACGCGCTCTAAGCTGTGCAATGGCCTCAGCGTGTTCACAACGAACGATATGCGAGAATTGATGGCTGGTGATCAGCCGAACACGTCCCCGGATAGGCAGCTGTAAGTCCAGGGACATGGTGCGAGCGTGGAAGCTCGGGGAGCTCACGATGGATGGGACCAAAGACTCGCGGATCGCAATCGCGCATCTCTGCCAGGCCCCCGCTGGGGGCGACACATGAACGACATAGCCATCGAAGAGCTGCTCGGGCCCACCAGCCACGCGCCATTCTTGGAACCAGATAGCACGTACATCAAATTCTGCGCGCAGGTCATCGAGGAGCTGTTGCCGCCTCCTAGTTCCACGGACGCCTCTTACATTCCACCCCAGAACTGCAAGGTCCCTGACGCCCCAGGCGAAGCGGCGGCCCCTCGACTTGAATCGCTATGGCCTGGGGGGGGGGGGTCGTTGATCTCCCCGAGCCGCTCTGGAAGCTTGAACTCTGCCAGCTCCTGGCCCAGCAGAGCCTTGGCCAGCGGCTCGGAGCAGATCTCCATCAAGTCCGTGGCGCGAGATCGCTGCAGGATCCTGATCGGTCTCTCACTCCCGTTGCGGCGGAAGACC